GCTCTCAGGGCCACTCCGCCCCCCCTCCACCGGGCCCGCCCTTTTCGCCGGGGCCGGGTTCCGGTTGGGCGCCCGGCTCTCGCAAGCGGCAACTGCTGACCGCACACGCCCAGGGAGCCGAGGGGCCGCTTCCGTACGGTGCGCCGCCCTCGCGCGAAGAACAGCCCACCCGATGTGTTTGAACTGCAGGCAGTATATGCATTGGAGGCGTCCCGGGTCCTCCGTCACACCGAAAGTCGGAAATATTTCACTAGTCTACCGATGCATTATCAGCGCGAGAGGTGCCGCCGCACTTCGGCGCGCGCAGCTGTTGGGCGGGAAGCCCACTGCACTTGCCCCGGGCCCCCTGCGCACGGCGGCGCCCAAAAAAGCCCAACTGCCGCCACCGGGGGGCCAACAACGAGTAGGAGGGACTGCCCGCCGGTCCTTGGCTCCCCCTTTGCGAGGCACTGGGTCCCGGCACCGCGGCCGCCGGATTTGCCATGGGCCTCCGTCCCTGATCGAGGTGAGGCGCGCGCGGGAAGTTCCACACAGCCCCCTGGCGCGTCGTCCACTTCACCGCACCGCACCGCCGCCAGGCCCGCGTGCACCGGCCCATTCGCCGTCGCGACGACGGCGGCGATACATGTCTTCTGCGGGGACTCATTCTCGTCGGATTGAAGGCGCGTGGTGGAGGCATTCGCAGCCGGCGCAAAACACAGACCCATTAGATAAATGGGAAACCAGTGGAGCGGAAGGTGCGCACGCCCCCGCCCGCACTCGAAGTGACGCAACAGGTCTGAGCCCCGCGGATGGTGCCGAGCCGCGCCGGCGACATCGCTGCTTCGCCCTGTGAGAGGCGAACGCGCGCATTGGAGTCAACCAAAGTGGGCAGGCGCGTGCCAACGCCGGCCTGCGCCGCGACTGCCGCCACTCTGCTTCTGCGTCTGCGTCCCCTCCGGCGCCAGAGGCGGCGCAGCGTCCGTTGCGCGCCTTCCCCCGCCGCAGGGAGAACCTGCAGTCCGGGTCGGGGGCGTCTGCCCCACCTGCCGGCGCACGTTCGCCGCCCTCTCCGCCCGAGCGACCAGCGCCGCACCGCCAACTACAACCAGACAACCTTCGCAGCCGCCTACGGAGAGCAGGGTCGCAAGAAAAAAACAAAAAGGCAATAAAAACGAACACACACACGCACACTCTCAAGAGGGAAAACACGCCCTCGCGGTGGGGCCTTTGGCCCTCACCCAGCACCCAGGGAGGGGCAACACGAGAAAATCAAAACACTTCGGCCTATTGCGGCCACCGTTGGAATTAGAACGGCATTTATTCATAACAAAAAAAAAAAACAATTGGTCCTTCCAGGCGATTTATGTGGCGGCCGGGCTCGTCGGGAGCTCGCGGAGCGACGGGTACAGAACTGCCTCCGCCAGCTCCCCAACGCGCCCTGTAGGGAAACAGGGCAGCTAACGCGTGCTGGAAGCAACAAACAACAAACAAACAAACCCTCCACGTTTTGCTTCAGCCTCCTCCAGCCGATGCACCCTCCACTGAATTCCAACACGGAAACAAATACAAACACAGAGAGGGAGTGGCGCAGGATGAGCCTGCCCGAAAAATAATTTAAGTAAAAAAGCGAGAGGTGCGGGGGCCGATATACCAACGCCATCTGCGGCCCCACACACATGAGACAGCCCGCGGCTACACGCGCCGACGAACTTGGATGGTGATAACCGGCTCCTCTATCCAAGAATGCACTTCCTCCGTTGCAGGCGAAGGCGCCGTAGCCGAAATGTTGTGTGGCCGATGCCCCCCGAGACTCTCATCTCCCCCAACAGCGGCGTTGAGTACGTGCAGCTCATCGTCACCGTAAAAGAAGGGCATGAGCGGCAGAGACGTTTTACGTCGTCCGCCTTCAAGCGAAGGTTTATTGGCGCTTTTCTCCATCACGTAGCTCATTTTCGCCGCCAGCCGCCCCATCGCCACGCGGCAGGCGTCCTCCTCACGCGTCGCTGCTGCAGCGCGCGGCACGCTGACCCTCCACCGCTCGCAGATAGGACGCAGCACCTTCAGCCGCTGCGGGGCCGCAAAGGTGCCGAGCAGCACAGCCAACACGGCGAAGATGTTTTGCGAGACGCCGCTCATGGTGATGGACGCGGAGGCCTCATCGCCGCTTGGCGTGTCCCCGCCGTCGTCGTCAAACTCCGGCATCAAACGATCAAGGCGCAGGGCGGCAAAGGTGCGCCCCGGCACAGCGTCCAGCTGGTACAGCTCCACCGGCTTCGGCACCCCGCGCAGCGCCACCGCGCCCAGCGCAGTCACCTCCAACTGCTCCCGCTCGTTTGTGCTCAGCGACATGTACGCCGCACGCGTCAGCAGCACCTGCCCGCCGTTGCCCACGCCCTCCGTGCGCGCCGCCACGTTCGCCGTTTTGCCGTAGTAGTCGTACCCCTTCGTCACCTCGTCGCGCCGGATGTCGCACAGCCCGGTGTGCACCCCGACACGCACCCGCAGGCCGTTCCAGTACTGCCGGTACACCGCGGCGTCCAGGCGCGCCGTCGGCGGCACGTACTCCTCCGCGACCTCCTCCGCCCGGCCCTCCTCGAACTTGCGGTACGCCTCGTCGAGCGCGCCCGTCCCCCAGTCGTGCCGCAGGAACACCTGCTGCAGCTCCCGCACCAGCTGCACCGCCGCGGACACGCTCTTGCACGCAATCATGAACGAGTCGCCGACCGTCTTCACCTCGT